ATTTTCTCAAGAACTAGTAGGAAAACAATATTGTGCATTATACTTTCAGTGAGACTGCTCCCAGCAGTAATACTTTTTTGTGTGCATTCTTTATGAATATTGGGAACTGTAACTATATTGGGGAGGTTTTACATGAGCGTATTTAAGAAAAATGCCATACATGGCACAGGTTTTCAACTGTCCATTTATTTGGAGTGTCCAACTTGTCCCCCAAATGGGTCACCAGGGCCTGAATTTCAAAAGTGTTGAGCACCCTCAACTCTATCTGAAGTCAATGGAGGCACTTCTGATAATCAGCACTGAAGTGCATCAAATTAAATACACACAATTAGTGGTCACTTTAAAAACATGGGCCTGTCTCAGTAGGATTGATTTCTTTACTCATTTTAATTCTTCTTCATTCTCATCTTTAAGGGGGAAACAAGAAGCCTTCATCCTTTGCTAATTTCTTTTAAAATACTACACCAGAAGTCTTCATGCAGATACAACCACAAAAACAATGCTGCTTTTAGCATTTCCTGTGGGAGAAAAAAGCTAGTTCTTGCAGTTCATGAAAGAACTTTGATCTCTAGGTCCAGTCCTGGTGCCTTCACTCAGCTTTTATGCCAGCTAATTAGCCATTGACATCGATGAGAGTTTTGCCTGAGTAAGTGCTGAATAAGAATTTAGTTGTAGATAGGGTGACCAGACAGCAAGTGTGAAAAATCAGGACAAGGGGTGGGGGGTAATAGGATCCTATAAAAGAAAAAGACCCAAAAATCGGGACTGTCCCTATAAAATCGGGACATCTGGTCACCCTAGTTGTAGATATTATGCAGCAGGAGGTGAATAAAGAAAATTCATGAGATTCTGTAATTGACATAAGGCCCCTCAGATGAAATGAGAAGGTTCTGTCCCCCAATTCCCAAACCCCTAGAGATCTGTTTGGATTGTAGGAATCCACTGGAAGCAAAGGGTGTCTGCACTTCTTTTGAGCTCCCTTACCTGTCTCCTCAGCTTCAGGGCAGAGTGCTTTCAATGGAGCCACATTGCCACCGTTGTTGCAACATCAGTATTGCCAGCCCCAAGCGTTCAAAAATCATGAATCAGGCTCGAAAAATAATGAGATTGGCTTAAAACTCATGAGATTTTATATTTGAGATTTTCACTTTCACATGAATCTGGGAGCTAGTGGTTTAAGAAACAAATGATAAAATTACAAGAGTTGGCAACACTGCAACAGGCACCTTCCATTTCCTCCTTTCTTTCCTCCTCCTTCCTACCACACGTAGAAGTGGTTATCAGAGTTAACTCTATTTCAAAACTGACGGGCAGAACAAAATGATCTCCCCCCTCTCTCCAAAGATAGAGCCCCCAAACCCCTGGAAGGGCCTGGAGTTGAATAATTCCAGAGAGGTGATACTCCCTCTTGTTTCCCTCAGATAGGGTTTTGTACAGCTTTATTTTCCTATGTATGTGCTGCTAAAATTGTAGAAAACTTTGTATGAGACATTATGAGCTGGTCTGCACTGAAAACTTACATTAGCATAGCTAATCTCAGGGGTATAAAAAAATCCATCCATCTAATTCTTCCATCGACCTAACTACTGCCTCTCAGGGAGGTGGATTAACTACAACAATGGAAAAACCCCTCTGTTACTATAGTGAGTGTCTACACTGTAGCGTTTTAAGTGTAGACATACTTAAATGAATCAATCCAGGACTGAATTGGAATGCATTTACACAAGTAGCCAGTTAAGGTTACGCTGGCAGCCTTAATTCTGACATAGCCTGACATTTGAGTGCACCTGTAATGTTCTGTTAACAAAACAAATTCACTTTGTAGTGTAGCTCTGGCACTAGTCTGCAGCACAACCAGGTCCACACTCCAAAGTTTCGTCAGAATGCCTATGTGAAAAAATCCCCAGCCCTCACTGACATAGCCATGCTGGCAAAAAAAACCCTATGTAGGTGCAGCTATAGCAGCCAACGAGTCCTTTTACCGATATAGCTTATGTCATTTGGGGAGGAGATTTATGTATACAGCCAAAAGATCTCCATTTCTCGGAATAAGCTGGAACTCCACCAGCGGGCTCTGCCAGTAGAGCTATACAGTTATAGCTGTATCAGCAAAGCCTTGTAGACTAGCCCCAAGTAACAGCATTGGGCCTGATCGATAATGGTTTGGGAAATAATAATATCACCTTTCTAACAAGGATTGTGTTTAATTGCAGTTTGTTAGCATGTGTTAATGTGGGTACTGCCCCCACAGGCCTGTATGTTTGGTATTAGAGCTCCCGAGTAACCAAAAATTAGCACAATCAGAAAAATCTGTCAATTAAAATATCTGAAAATTCACAGATATAATGCTTCAATTCCCCTGGCTTTGTTTTGATTGTGAGAATAATTAAATAACCTGTGCAACAAAGTTTCCTTTTGGGAATGTATTTATCTGGTCAAATACAGTGTGGTCAGGACCCAAAATACAAACAGACTACTAAAAATTAGCTTGAAGCAGAGCAAATAACAGCAGAAATTGTCTGTGGCCTTCTATACCTCGCTAACTATCTTGGTCTGCTACACAGAATCAAAACAAACCAGTCCCACAATGTGTGTTTAAAGGAGCTGTGCACCTTCCATTCACCACAACTATACTTGCTTTTCTCCCTCACCAGGGGGATAGCAGCCTATGCATAAACCCAGGAGGGTGCAGAATCGCCTATAGACTATATATATATATATATACACACCTCTACCCCGATATAACACGAATTCGGATATAATGCAGTAAAGCAGTGCTCCCGGGGGGGCGGGGCTGCGCACTCCAGTGGATCAAAGCAAGTTCGATATAACGCGGTTTCACCTATAACACGGTAAGTTTTTTTTTGGCTCCCAAGGACAGCATTATATCGAGGTAGAGGTGTATTTAAAATATACATGCTGTGTGTATGAATGGGAACCCCACCTTTCAAGAATCATTAAAGAATGGGCATTGGGTAGCTGCTGCCACTATCAGTTACCACAGTGGGTGCACCATCTCCCTTAGATGTTTTAATAGGGCTTTTCCTCAATCTCTGATTTCCATTTGGCCTGTAGAAAGTGGTAGGGGGAAGGAAATTTTTGACCCATTGTGTCCTATTTTCCCTGGCTGAGTTCTGGAAGATGGCCCTTTAGAATTTTTCCTTGGCTGGCTAAATCACCAGGCTTGAGAAAATCTCTAATAGCTTTTATTATTTTTACATGTTTGTATAGGCCAAGTTTGTCCCCTCGGCCTGACATAATTGCAGTGTATGCAAAAACAGTAAGTAGCTATACAGATATATAGTACAGAGCCAGCTTGTTGTCTGTCCAACCCCTCATTTTGTTTACAAACAGCAAAATAGATCACAAATTTGCTCTGATTTTTAGGAAGCTACAGAAGCCTACACCATTTAGTAGTTCTCTCTGCCAATGTCAATATATTTCTGTTCCTTGGGGTTGTGTGGGCTCCATCTGGTGGTTAATTTAACACATGTACACTTTTATTTAAACAGATTGACTAGTTTAGTTGAGACGTGAATATTTGAAGATTTCAGAATCAGATTCTGCTGATTTCATTTAAAACATCTGCTCTTAGGGTAACTGGATGACTTTACAGATTGATAATAGGATACAGAGCTTTCTACTGTGGCTGACAAGTTCAAATCTAATCTAGCTCACTAGGGGGCTTAAAGTCATTAGCAATGGCAACTGTTCACTGGTTTGCAAAGTGAGCTGGTGGGGACAGCCCAGTACATACACTACCACTATAGTTGGCACTAATCAACAACCTTTTTGCAATCTCATCAGAAAGATCAAGCATTAATGTGCGTGATGACTAATGCTACCTTCCCACTCCTAAAGGTGATCCCTGCAAAATGGCTTTGTGTACTTTAGAAGGGTGATGGAAAGAGGTTTACAGTGCTTCTGCCTGAGCTGTATATGATCTGTGGATAAATAGAGATCGTTGATTTTACAAGGTTATCAGTCCAGAACCTTGTATAAACATTAATATTCATAGAGAAAATTAATCATTGGTATGATTTTTCTCACTTTGAATGCAATCAATCCCTTTTTCTGAACAAAACAAGGGCATTTCTCTACCTCTAAATTGGTCAAATCAAAGTCATGAGGCATCCATCAGTTTAATGAGACCTACTGGAAAGCATCACCTATCATCCAATACAGAAAGTTACATAGACATACTGGGTCCAATAAAGCTGTGACTTAAACGAGATGAAATGTACACATCAGGTGTAAGTTGATCAGAAAATGTATATAAGTAATGGATGTAAGGAGTGTTCCTTACACCAATCTGACAATCAAGAAAGTGCAATTTATACACCCACACGGCAAAAGGCAACATACCAGGAAAAGCAATTAATAGGATTCTCTTTACAGTTTACATCCACTTCTGTTTTCTGGACAGTTTACGCCTGATGTGTAACTTATGCGGACACTTGTCACAAATGCATTTGGCCCAGAGACTTTAAGGAGAGTTGCAAGTGCTTACCCCAGGATTGAATTTGACCGAGTAGGGCTGCCTGTTTGGGTTCAATAGCATTGTTACAACATAGCTCAACAAAAAAATGAAGAGACAAATATGGAGCATTTTTTCAGAATGGAGACTGCCCCAAGCTCTGAGGAGACCAGCTGAAGGAAGGTAGCTCTCTCTCAACCACTAAGTCAAGCCATAAACCACAGGTCCTTACTAAAGTGTTGAGAACTGGATCAAAAAGAAGGAATGGCGACGTATTTAATCAAAATGAAAAGTTCACTTTTGGAACAAACTTGGGACAATGTTTAAGATTAATTGGGAGTGAGGGGAAAGAAAAGTCTTTTTAAGTGACATAGTTCCCTAACTTGATGTCCATTGTGAGTGCAACTGAAAAAGTAACATCTAAAGCAAAAACAAAACGTAGAGGTGGGAAGGATAATGGGGTGGCATTTGAGTGTGGGCTTCTGACGCTTAATATTTTTCTTGCATTTCTTTTGTGTGGCAGTAGTGAAATAGGGACATCTAAGCTTCTGAAGAACTGAAAGATCCAAGTTTGAAGAGGACCTGGGGGAGAAGCAGTCTGCAAAATACTTCTTTAAACTAAGAACCACATATGCCAGACCTGAACTGGCACCATCTTTGCCTTCCTGACAGATTACACCAGTTGGTAATGGCACCAATAGCAGAATCAAATTAGAATGCTCAGTAAAAGCCCTTTGGGACTTGTCTCCATATTATATTATAAAACTGACTTACTGGTGACTCTACTTACATCTCTGGAAAACAAACTGAAATCTCATCTATAAGGGCAGATAACCATAGGAGCCATATGCTAGGTGTTGAAGACTACACTGAAATGGCCTGGCAAACCCTGCTAATCACTTGCTGCAGTCCCTTTCTAAAATGAAAATTGCTAAGGTTGCCATCAAAACCTTTAGACTTTTTAAAAAATTTAAAACTTCATCAATACAAATTAACAAGATCTAATTTTAATATATTCAAGGCAACTACAATAATAAATTAAGAGTTAAAACAACATCCACATTTGTTCTAGTCCGGAGAATAAGGTAAAAAACCCCAAAACTACATGGGGCCATGTGGAAGGATACAACTGGCATTGAGGCTCCCAGTCAAGAGAGGTTTCAGAGTCAAGAGAGGGACACTTTAATTTGCCTGTTGCCTCCCTACTGCCATCACCAATTTCTGATCTTGATATTGAAGACCTGTGAAGCACAGTACTTGTAAGTGGGGGTAAAGAGATAGTGCTGGAATCCTATTACAAGACTGGTGAATTAATGTGACAGACTGATTGGCCGTGGACATGAGTGAATGTGAAATAATCTTCAAAGGGAACAGTATGCACTTTGTTCTGTATGCGAGCCTTGCAAGGCGGGCCTAAAGGAGAGAAGGAGGCATTCATTTTCTGACTCAAGCATCTCAGCATTCCTAATATTCCTAGCTAAATTAATGAGAATAGAGCACAACAAGGCATTCAGTGTTTAGCATTCAGGGTCTGGACAGATTAAAAAAAAAACATTAAGCCTCCCCCCTACAGATCAAAATGGATCAGATTCAGACATTTCAGTAGATTAAAAATATTGATTTAGCATTATGTACTGCTATCGCTTTGCATCTCACTGATTCTACTTATGGCTGTAAAAAGATGTCATGCTTTTTTTTTAGCAATAATTGTTATCTAGAGAAGTGTTTGTGCATCTTTTTACTTATAACTTGCATTTGCTCACTTCTTTGACATGCTTACCATATTGTCTATACTGCTGCTTGTGTAGGCCAGGTGCCTAGGCTTGCCTTTCTCTTTATAGTTCTATAAAGTAGCTACAGTATACAAATGCTAGAAAAAATATTAAAGTATCTGTGGGATTGGAATGCTTTATTTGACTATATACTCCTAAACATTTTAGCAGGTAGAAGTGTAAAGGGAGATCAAGAATACAGCACCTTTAAAGGATCCAGTACTGCTGGGGATGTTCATGAGTCTGGCCCTGTAGCTATTTTAAAACAACAGGAAAAAAAGAGGATTCAAGTGTGAACATGAAGAAAGGAGAGAGACAGAACCCACTGGAGAGTCCCTCAAGGAGAAGACACAACATAGCTAAGACATTGACAGGAAATGGAGCTAATCTTCCAGAGAAAATGGGAAACCTGTGGGACTGTCAGGACTTGCAACACCTACAAGGCAAGAAGAGAGGAATGTACACAGCATTAACGGATAACAGCCCTTGCAGTTTGGGCCTTCCCAAATTACTTATACAAAGGGAATCTGGAGCAGGCTGTGACTGCTGTAACATTGCAATTATTTGTAGTCTCTGTAAAACAGCATCGGGCGGCATCCTAGGTTTTAAAGGTATTACTTTAAATTCTTAATTCATGCTTTGATACGGTATCTTTAATAAATTTTTATTATTCAAAAGTCTGCTTATTAATCTCATTTAATATCATCTCCTCTATTGTCTGGGTGAAAGCCAGCACAGCAACAGAATATAGCTCCAGCTAATCCCTGCATCCTCCGCATTCCCGACATTTTTCCATTCGCCTGATAAGATGGACAGTTTGGGAAACTGAGGCAATACACAGTGAAAACAAAGTAAAGAGACAAACAAGAGAAATCTTTAGCACTGATATAGTCCCATTCTCTCCAAAGTGCTAAACATTAACTAATTGAATCAAAATGAATAATAAATATGTACTGATTCATGAATACAGAGTAGCGAGTTAAGCTATATTTGCACTAGATCTTTCTTTTTTCCCGTTAAGATTTCCTGCCATTCCAGCTCTACAGTGGAAGGAATAGTGGGAATACAAGTGTAGATGCCTGTCAGTGTTTTAATACTGCTAAGGTGAGATCTACACAACACTGAGGTTAAAACATGGTTACCAGCATCCTCTCTACACTAAAGCTCCCACCTTTGCTACTGTCAGTGGAGTGTCCACTGGTGGCAACAATGGGAAATTTAAAGAAAAGTCTAATGTAGTCAAGGATGGAAAGCCCAAGTACACAGCACACAAGTATATCTAATTAATACAACCAGTAAGCTTAACCTGAGAGTTTACCTATGACTTGGTAGATTATGGGAGATACATGCAAATAAGTACAATATTTAATCTCCTAAATATGAAACTGTCATTCCCTGAAATGACAAGAATGACTGGAAGAAGAACTCTGTAAGTTTGCAAGCTTGTCTCCCTCACTAACAGAAGTTGGTCCACTAAAAGATATTGTGTCTCTAATATTCTGGGACTGACTCAGCTACAACACTGCATACAATAATTCATTTAGCCTGTTTTGCCAACTCTTGTGATTTTATTGCAAGTCCCATTAATTTGATGTTTTCCTTAAAGTAGCAGCTCACAGACTTATGTCATTACATGAGAATTTCAGCTTTCATTAAAAAACAACAAAAAAGTTTCTAGCCCTCACGGTTCCAGAGAAAATCTTAAAATGCGACCAAAACATGTCCTAATGATTCAAAAGCATGAAGCCAAATAATACAAACCCAATATGTATTATTTTAAATAAACCTCATGATTTTTAAACTAGTCTCATAATTTTGCAGGGACTGATTCATGACAACTGAACATCTGAGCTGGCAATACTGATCATATGAGCTGTATTTTGCTGTTCTGTGTAGTTGCATGGTGCCTGTCACTCCTGTGTATAGTTTGCATGAGGTATGTTACACTGAGCTATAGGGTTTTTATTTTATTTGGGTTTTATACACATAGTGAGTATACTCTCTTTTAGATAGGAACATGCATTTTGCGTGCCTTTCCACATGCAGAATGATGTTTGTGGGTAAAAAATGGGAATGAATAAAGACAAATGGTACTTGCAAAATAAACTATATTAACAATCAAGCAAAATGTTATCTTCAACACAACAGCAAGATATCAAAGGAATCATCTGACATTTCCAACACCAATAATTTCCTTTAGCTTGACTACAAGAATCATATACATATTTACAAATGCAGTCATATAATTCTAGCGATAAATGGATATTAAAAAAGTGTGTTATTTCCTTTTATTTACCCTATTGTTTTGGCATCCCAGCATTGTGATATAAGATATTAACATATAGCACAGCAATATAATGTTACTGCCACATCTGTAAACTCCTTTATACCATTTTTTCTGTATATTTTTGCCAGAAAAATAATTCATAGTGTTTAAGGTCAGAACGGACCATTGGATCACCTAGTCCAGGGGTCGGCAACCTTTCAGAAGTGATGTGCCAAGTCTTCATTTATTCATTCTAATTTAAGGTTTCGCATGCCAGTAATACATTTTAATGTTTTTAGAAGGTCTCTTTCTAGAAGCCTATAATATATAACTAAACTAATGTTGTATGTAAAGTAAATAAGGTTTTTAAAATGTTTAAGAAGCTTAATTTAAAATTAAATTAAAATGCAGAGCCCCCCGGACTGGTGGCCAGGACCGAGGCAGTGTGAGTGCCACTGAAAATCAGTTCACGTGCCACCTTTGGCATGCATGTCATAGGTTGCCTACCCCTGACCTAGTCTGACCTCTTGTATATCACAGGCCGTCATATTTTACCCAGTTACCCTTGTATTGAGCTCAGTAACTTGTGTTTGACTAAGGCATAACTTATGTTCAATTCCTACTTTTAAATTACTCTGTTGTATAAATTATGTGGAAAAATCCTCCTTACTCTATCAAGCTAAAGATATGGGTTCAATTTCTAGTTCTATGCCACATATTTAGCTCTTGCCTTACTGAAGAAACCCAAGCATTATCTCCAACCCATCTGGCTGTGTGGTGCAGTGAAGAAAGGTCTAATAGATAATACTTTATGCTGCCATAAAGGAGACGGGGTCATTATTGATCTCAAATGCAGTAAAACCAAACAGAAGTGGAACTGCAGACTTCTAAGACATGCCCACCTGCTGATTTGGAAGTTATTACCAAAATATACTTTAAAAATTCAGGCTGAGGGAGATGTTTCCCCTTATCTCTTTTTAAAATGTTTATTTCAGGAAGGCCAAACTTGTGCCAAACTCTGCATTAATGCCATTCTTGTTGTAGGAACAGAACAATCCTATTAATCAAGAACCAGTCTGTTTGGCTCATCTATGAGGTAACACTACTGCATATAAAGCAGCAGAAAAGAAAATGATATGGATCTTTGCATAGATGGATCTTTGTGAGAGGATGACTAACTTCATAGGTGAATAGTTGCATAAACTATAAGAAAGTCTTAAGAGAACAGCTGACAGGAAGTTAGTATAGAGCAGTCCTGTGAGACAAAGGATTACGGCTGATAGACGCATAGTGACTCTCCCCTCCAACATGCTATAGCTAGATTACTATGAGGACAGCCAGGCAAAACACAAGTGGTGGTGGTAAGGTGCCTCATAAAACTCTAAGATATTTATAAAAAATAAAATAAAATAAAAAACAATCTGGGCCTCCAAGAGGGCTAGGTAAGAGGGAGACAGTAGCTATGTGCTCAAGAGGTAAGAGTTATCTCCATAACATAAAAATTAAATATTTAGTAGCCTGGGTCTACATATACTTTGGTTTCTAGAAAATATGTCCATGATTTACAGGATTATTTTTACCATTATTCCAAGACTTGTGACATTATTAAGGTTATACTGTGACCATATAACCCTTCATGATGTTTTCCCAAATTTTTCCACACTAAACCTCCAGTTGAATTAAAATATAGGCAAGAATAAGGGAGAGAGTTTACCATGAGCAAGGATTCCAACCCCTGCAAATATCTCAGAAGCACCTGTGTCCGCATGTTCCTTACATTTACACAATGACACCAGGGCCACATTAACCATTGGAGAATGAAACCATACCAAGCTGACATGGGGTCCTATAACATTGGTAGACAAGAGAAGCACCTCATTTTGCTATCAACTTAACACCAGTTTTAAAAAGCGTCCTGTTTAAAAGTCTCCAAACTAAGTATTCACTCTTTTGCTGCGGCTGAACTCTCACTGCATTGCTCCCTGCCAGCATCTCTCCTCTCCATGTGATACAATAAACACTGAATGCCGTAGCTGTGCGCAGTGGCAGCATGAGATATCACAGTGACATATTAGTTAGTTGGTTGGTCTACAAGAGGAAAAGGACACACTTCCCATAAAATGTGTGAGGGGGAGATTGTAAAAGTTCTATGGGGGAGAGAAAACAATATGGAGCCTGTGATGGGGTGCCATGGCACAGGAAGAAGAAAAAGAGAGATTAAGATTCATGTGGGAGAAAAGGCAACTGAACATGGGGAACAGCAAATGGATCACGCAGTATTGAGGGAGGTGCTAACAGAATAAAGAAAAACAGAAGGCGATTTAGAATGTACATTTAGCGTGTGGAATTCATTGCCATGAAATATCATTGCAGCCAAGAATTTAGCAAGATTCAAAAAGGGATTAAATATTTATATATACATCCGCCTGCTTCAGGATTTAAGACAGCAGCTGAGTATTGGGGGTTAGGAGGAACCTTTCCCTTAAGCAAGTTACTGGCATATTGCAGGATTTTTTGCACTTTCCTCTGAAGCAGCTGGTGCTGGCCGCTGTGAGACAGGATACCAAACTAGGTAGATCACTAGTCTGAGCCAGTATGTTCTACAAAAAATGTTGATGACTTTCCATGATTTTGTCATGATTTCCATGGTTTGTGGTAACATTACTATGACATCTCCAGGACCTTCCCCTAATGATAACATTTTTTTCATATTCTAAACTGTTGTGCATTGTTTAACAGCTGCTCTATTCCATCCCCAAAAATGGCTGCACTTGAGCAATATATGCAGTGACATATGGCTAGGTCCAATTTTCAAAGGTGCTGAGTCTGCAGAAATCCAACTGACATCAATGGGAGCAGCAGGCATTCTGTACCTC